GCCAAGCATTAGGCAAAGGATTGGGACAACAGGAGATAAAGTCCAAATCCTCCTCTCTGGTGAAGAAGTTGCCCGTACAGCCAAGGGGTGCTTCCTCGGGGTTCAACGGCATATTTGGAATCTGAAAGAGCCTGGGACAATCAATCTGTTCACCTGGTGAAAGTTCATTTGACATCTGATAGGACTGGAGTTGATCTCTAAGAGGTTTCCGGGCTATAGAGTGGTAGGTTTGGAGCCAGAAGTCAAAAATTTTAAGTCTGGTACTCACACTCAGTTCATTGAGAAGGTTGACCTTTGCTTGAGAGAAATGGCCAAATGAATGTCTGACAAGAGGTTCGGGGCTGCTGGCTTGAAAGGGGGTCAGTAGTAGGAGAAAGAAGACAACCAGCACCCAAACAGGTCAGGGATCTTTGCATAGACAAGGCTCTGAGACCTTTCAAGAAGGTCCTTCCAGCTGGAGTGTGAGAAGGTTGGGATGCTGGGTGCTGGGTGGTAGTGTTGGGGTTAGCCAGTGATAAACCCTACTGGGCCTGTGGTTTGCTGACCACCCCTCAATTCTGCCTAGTCTGGGGCTCTGGCTTCAGCCCTCCCTGGATTTGATTCTGTTAAGAAGAAAACCACAGGCCCCAAATGGAGTCACTTATGTTAAGGACCCACATCAGTAAATGAAGACTTAATTTAATACCTAACCTAACTGCAATTTCAACTCCCCCAAGTGTAACCTTTAACCAGTCAACATGGAATTTCCTGGTCGGCACTAGGAAATTTACCGAGGGAGCCCATCTGTTCCCCTTAGGAGGGCAACCTTGCCTAAAATACTGCATTCTTTGCTAGTAATTTCCTTTTTTCCACTCCCTCTGCCTTTAAAAACCTTTCTTTCCTACAGCTCAGTGGAACTCCTTTTTATTTGCTAGACAGGATACTGCTTGGTTTGTGAATTGTTTAATAAATGTAACAAATTTTAACAAAAGGTCTTCAAATTTATCCTGATGAATTTTGTTTTTTAACAATTTCCAGGGAAGAACTTGATGTTCTTCTGAAATTGGCCTTGCTCTGGATTCAGTTATGAGATGGTGGGCTGTCCAGATGTCCAGCTGGCCCAGTTAAAAAGGCTTTGAAAATAGATCTTTCTGGAAAAATAGATCTTCCTAAGGCATTTATTTCACCCCCTTTCTACTCTGCAGACCCAATGCCTGACCAGCTATGGGCACGTTTCTTTTCTACAGCAGATGCAGGTTCCTAGAACCACTCTGGGTCAGTGAGACAACCCCCTCGGGTACCGCTGGCCCCTGGGAAGGATGAAAGGTAACAAATTTTGAATGAAGAAAACACATGGGTTTGACTAGCAGCTCAGCAAAGGTTGTGAGGCAGGTAAGACCTGAGGCTGGGACTTGAATCCAGATCCCGGGTTTAAATCTTTCTGTACGGCATTCATGACTGTCTCGAGAAGCAGTTGAACTTGGGTGAGGAGACACCTCAGGGCGCCACTCAGCTGTGAGCAGGAAACATTTGGCTGGTTCTGAGTGTCTGTGCATCAGGTGTTCAGAGAAGGGACATCAGTCACAGTGGGGGGAGTGGCCAGAGATAATCCATGAGGACAGTGGTCAAACAGAAGCTTCCAGCGAAAGTATGGAAAATTACCTAAGAGTACCTCAGAATTTGGCCAACCCCTTCGGTTTCAGTGAGAAAACATTTTTACATTTTTAAACTGAAAGCATATTCATTCCCCAGCTCTGGCCCCTGGCCCTTGGTCTCTGGCTTGGAAACAAAAGGGGATTGTCTGGTCCCCTGGGCTGGGATGTTTGCTCACAGATCAGGACCTGTGCTCAGAGCATCTGGTTTGGGAAAGGGGGCGTGCATTTGGATGGTGTTGAGTGTGGGCTCGCTGCGCTGTTCTGCTCAAGTCCGTGTGACGCCTGTGTTCACAAAATGCTGGACCGCGCAAGAGGAGGGGCTGGACTGGGGAACCTCCTCTCTCCTCTCCACCTGGATGGAGCTGGGCAGTGCTGACAAATAATCATAAACTAGTATCCTGGAGACCGTGTAGACCTTGGAGGTTGTCCATCCTCACGGCCCCTGTCATCTATCCTCTGATGCATGCCCTTTGCATAAATTCCTCCAGTCACAGCGAGCCCACTGCCCCGGGCAGCCCATTCCGCGCTGTATAGTAGCTGCCATCCCTGGAGAGCACGTCCCCTGTTACAACCTGCTATCACCTCCACAGCCTGTCCAATGGGGGGAGTCATTTCATTCATTCCACAAATATTTTAGGAATGCTTTCTTGTTATTGCTGGGCACTGTGCCCAGTCCTGGAAAAAAAGAGCTCCCTTGGTGCGGATGAGATAGATAAGGAATAGGCAATTTGTTTCAATAAAGTTGTCACCATCCACTTAGCTGCTGAGGCCAGAACCCGGATGTCATCTCTGATTCCTCTCTCGCCTAACCACCCCCCGGTGAGTCTGGCTGGCTCAGCTTCCCAAGCACTGCCGGTACTCATCCTCCTCTCAGGGCCTCTTCTTGCACCCTGGCCAGGGCAGCCACGTCCCTCGACCGCTTCACTAGCCTCCCAAATGGTCTCTGAGTTTCTCTTTGGTCTCCCTGTAACCCACATTCCACAGAGCAGCCAGAATCATCTTTTAAAAATAACGGCACTCTTCTCCTTAAAGCCCTTCAATAGAGTTTTAAAAATGTAAACTGTTCACAAAGAGCAACACACATTCAAAACATGGCACAGATGGTGTGTTCACCTCGGTGGGTTTTCACAGAGGGAACACACCTGTGTAGCTAACCACCAGCACAGGAAGGAGAACACTTCAGCCCCCAGGAGTCCCCCTTGTGCCTCTATCCGTCACCAGCCCTCCACCAAGAGTAACTTTACTCTTCTGATCAGCCTGGATCAGTTTTGCCTGCCTTTGAGCTTTATTCATATGGAATCACAGAGCATGTACTCTTGTATTAGGTTTCCTTTTCTCAACATCCCATTTACTGAAAAGTGTGTGGATTTTATTCTGTGTGCCCAAACCGTAAATGCACGAAGTCCGCTGGAGGGGTAAAACCCCTCTGGAACACTGGTGGTATCTGCTACAGCTGAGTTTGTGCATGCCTATGACTCAGCACTTCCTAGGTAAATAACCATCAGTTATGTGTGGGTACATTCCCCAAAAGACTTGTACAAGGATGTTAATATCAGCACCGAACTGGAAACCATCAGGAAAGTATTGTTATTGCTCCATTTTACAGATGAGGAGACTGAGGCCCAGAGAGAGCTTGAAGAACGTCTTAGCCCATTTGGGCTGCTCTAACAAAATACCAGAGACAGGCCAGCTGCTACCACCACACTGGGCACTGGCTTCCAGCATATGAATTTGGGGACTACACAAACATTCACGCTGTAGAAAGAACTTGCCCCAAGATCACACACTTGGCATATGATAGAATCAGGCTACAAATTCAGGCTGGCCACTGTCTGACTTTGCAGCCTCTTTGGGTCCCACTCCCCTCTCCTCTCGTCGGTTCAAGGGTCTGTTGGCCCTTGTTCTCTTGGTCAATTAGCTGGCCTCAGCCTTCCTCAAGGCTTTAAAAAAAATCTTTTTTAATGTTAGAATAATTTTGTATTTATAGACACCTTGCAAAGATAGTTCAGAGAGTCCCTGTATATCCCAGAACATCCTTCCATGATTCTCCTCTGCATTCAACCACTCTGCCTTCCCCAAACCCCTGTCAACCATGCCTCTGTTTTTAAATTCCCATAGTTTTGCTTTTTCCCAGAATGTTACATAAATGAAATCATACAACATGTAGCCTTTTTGGTCTGTGTTCTGTCACTTGGCAAAATGCATTTAAGATTCACCCAGGTTGTCGTGTGAATCAATAGCGGTCCTTTTTAATCACCAAGTAGTATTCCAGTGTATGGTTATATCTCTGTTTATCTGTTCACCTACTGAAGGACATCCTGGTTGCTTCCAGTTTTTTCATGGCTATAAACAAAGCTGTTATAAACATTTGTGTACAGGTGTCGATGTTCACATAAGTTTTAATTCACTTGGGTAACACTTAGGAGTGCAACTGCTTCTGAGTCATATGGTAAGTCTATGTTTAACTTTATCAGAAACTGTGAAACTGTCTTCCAAAGTGGCTGTATCATTTTACATTCTCAAAAGAAATCAATGACAGTTCTTGTTATTCTGAACTGTTGTCAGCGTTTGGTATAGACAAGTTTTTTGGGTTTTAGCCATTCTAACAAGTATGTGGTGATATTTAACAGCTGTTTGCATTTTATTTCCTTAATGAAAAATTACATTCAGCATTTCTTCCTGTGCTTATTTGCCATCCATGTATCTTCTTTGTTTCGATCTTTTGCCCATTCAAAAATTTGGGTTGTATCCTTCCTGAGTTTTAAGAATTCTTTCTTTATTCTGCATATGTGTTCTTTATTAGACATGTGATTTACAAATATTTTCTCCCAGTGTGTGTTTTGTCTTTTAATTCTCTTAGTGGCTTTCACAGAGCAAAGAGCTCACAGTACAATCTTTGACGAAATCCAATTTATATTTATTTTTCCTTCAGGGACGCTGCTTGCGGTATTGTACTTGAACCTCATCACCAAACCGAAGATCATGCAGGTTTTCTCTCCAGCAATGCATGCTTGGGCCTGCTCCCCACAGCCTCGCACTCACGGCGCGCTTATAATGTGATACTTGCCAATCTGATGAGTGAAACACAGTACTCACTCTGCATTTAATTTGCACTTTCCTTATTACGAATAAGGTCTAGCATCTTACGTCTAAAATTAAAAAAACACAAACCAAACAACTCCTGAGCCCTTCCCGGCCCAGCCTGCTCAGGACTCGGCCGCGCCGCCCGCCCCCCGCGGGGCCCTGGGCGGGCAGGCCTGGGAGGGCCACCGCAGCGGGCCGCCTCCCGGTCCCCCGGGGGCCACCGAGCCCCGCCCCGAGCCTGCCCGCGGCCGGCCGGGGCGGAGCACGTGGGTCCATGGGCGGGGCTGCTCCGCCCGATTTATTCCCGTCCAGGAGCAGGAGCGGGCGCCCCGCGGTCGGAGCAGCCCCCGCACCCGCCCCGCGCCCGCGTCCCTCGGCATGCCGGGCTCCCGTCTGCGGGCCGCGCTCTGCGGCGCTCTCCTCTGCGCCTCGGGGCTCTGGGCCGAGTCCGGTGAGTGGGCGCGCCGCTCGGAAGGTCGCCGCTGCGCCCGGCCTCGCTCGATCCCTGTTTACAAACCCGGGCGACGGGCGGGGGCCGCGCGAGGGGCGATCTCTTCGGCGGCGCCGGGCCGGGGGTGGGGGTGCGATGGATGCGCTCGGCCTCCCACGTGCGCTCTGCGCCCCGGGGTCCGGGGAGCGCTGGAGGCGTCAGAGTTGGGCGGGGACTCGGGACACCGGGGACAGCCCAGCCGCCCCCAGGGATGTGACTTACACAAGACAAAGGAATCCGCTGTGCAGGGCCCCTCTTTTCCCATCTGTACAATGAGGCCAGTGAACTGCCTTACTTGGGCGCGCCTCCCGCTCGGGAGTTCCTGGGACTCCCGTACTGATACGCCCTCTCCAGCCGACTTTCCCGGCGACACCCGCCCGCGCCCTGGCGGCCGCTCAGTTCAGTGGAGTGGAGTGTTGCGCCCCGATTTGTGGTGGCAGATAGGCAGAGGGCGGGGTGGGAACGGGATGGTCGGGGCTCCAGCTGGGGCCCAGGAGGGGGACTGAGAGCCTGCGGAGGGACTTGGCAAAGCGCTGCCCCCCGGGGTGGCGTCTCTGGGCTCCCTCGCGCGGCCTTCGGCCGCTGCTATGTCTTCCTGGGCCCTCCTCCCCTGCCTGGGAGGCCTTCGCCGACAGCCGGGCCCCCAGCAGGCCGGTGGTGGGGTTGCCCCAGCCCCTTCTCTGCGGGGCCCTCGCAGCCCCAGCCAGGGCTGGGGAAAGGGTGCCCTCCGTGGGGGATGCTAGGGACCCTTCCGGCACGCCCTCCATCATTTTTTCATAGAAATAGGATTGACTGAAGCCTTGGGGCGTTCAAGCTGGCCCCTGGTGCTGCCATCCTGTGACAGGTGGTCCTCAGGCCTGGAGTGAAAGCCGTAAGGCCACTCTGAGCTCCCGCCCAAGCCTGAGAGGCGGCTGGGTCTTGGAAGACTCTTTCCACTCCTTTCTGTCCTCACAACCTGGGTTCTGGCAAAATGTCCCTGGGGAAATCTCCCGAAGCGCAGGGCTCTGAAATCCTAAAGGTGGTTCTGCAAAGGGTGATCTGGCCTTTCCCATAAAGGGGCAACACCGCAGCTGCTCTGTGCAGGTCGGTCTAAGACCACAGGGCATGGGACACCTTCCACTTTACTCCCACCGGACCTCTGCCCCACGCAGTAGGGGCAGAGGGCAAGGTTGGGATGGGAAGGAAGAGGAGCTGGACCTTGTTGGGACAGCAGCCGGAACTCGGGCCATTCCCAAGCCTCTGTGGCAGTGTCTGCTGCCTGCCAGGTCAGGAGAGGGGATTAACCTGCTATTTAAGGCCAATGACTAATAGCTCTTTGGGAGCCGCCTTAAGCCTTCACTGAGGTGGGGCTCTGACGCTTATTAGCATTAGCGGTGTTCTCTTCTCCCTGGAGCCCAGCAGGGGCCCAGCTCTCTGGGTCCGTGGGATTTCAGGAGGGCACCACAGTCTGGGAAGCATGATTCTGTGGGGAGAAACAAGATTTTTCATGCCTTACCCCAAATGACGGCCTTCGGTGTGGGGTATGGGGCGGCCCTTCTGGGATGCTAAGGTCAGCTAGAGGATCCTGCACGGGCCTGGCTCACCTAGAGGGTTGCCATTGGTCAATCAAGGGACCAGGAACAGGCTAGTAGTGCACATCTGCCTCCCAGGCCCCCACCAGAAGCTGTGATGTCCTCTCCAGCCAGCCCCCAGCTCCTCGGGCTTTGCCTGCTGCAATCTTCCCTGCCGCCTCCTCTCTGCCTGCTGCCTGACCTCCTCTCTCACAGCCTCCTTGATGCCCTCCCTGTCTCCTGCTTCGTCTGCTCAGAATCCAGGGGGATCTTTGTGAGGCTACGCCATGCCTTCCCCCCGCAGAGGGGGCCCATCCACCTTCTACAGGTGGGCTTTTCTCCACATTCTCCTTCCCAGAACTGGGAATGGCTTCCCCACTCCCACCTCACCTTGAGACCCTCTGATTTCTTTTCCTGGTGGACAGTGATGGGGAGGCCACAGGAGGGTTAAGAGCTCCTGGTCTACAGGAGGCAAAGTCTAAACATGTCATTCTTAAGGTCCTCCCCAGTCTGGCCCCAGCCTCGCTTTTTGCTGTGTCTTACTCTTCTCCAGCACATGGAGTTCCTTGTGCTTCTGCTGTTCTTTAGAATGTTTGTCCCTGCCTCCTCAGCCTGACACGGTGGCACTCTGACCTCAGACACAGCTCATGTGTTCCCTCCTCTGTGAAACCGCGACTCCCCGGCAGGCTCCCTGCGTCCAGTGCCCCCTCGTGCAGGCGTCTGTCCGAGCTTACGGCGCCTCTTCCCTACCTGTTGGCTTGTCCCCTTTCCCACGGCTTCGTGAGGCCTGGGCTGCACCCAGTTGCTTTGACTGGGGGTCCCGCCTGTACATGATAGTTGGCACCCCAAGTATTTACTGGCTGAATGACTTGTTCTGAGCCAGAGCTTCCATCTTAGGTGACTTCTGTGACTCCAGCCTGTGCCTGAATGGCGGGACCTGTTTGTTGAACCATGGCAAACCCTCCTTCTACTGCCTCTGCCCGGATGGCTTCACAGGCCTCATTTGCAATGAGACTGAGAAAGGTACCTGCTCTGCACCCGGTTCCCAGTTGCAACTCAGGCTGCTGGTCCGGTCCTGAGGTCGGGACTGGTCCTCACATTCCCCTGGAAACTCCCAGGGCGCTTGGAAAACTGGGTGCTTTCTGTATCTGGGCTCATTCACTTACAGTGATCCTCCCTGGCATCAGGCTGGCCCAGGCTCCAACAGGCCGACTGGGGAGGGAGGAGGTGCGGGGGGGCAAGGCAGGCAGGGGGCTGAGTGTGGGAAGAGGGTCCTTCTGGGCTAGGCCCATCTGCTGCTGCCTGTCTGTGTCCCCTGCTCCTTCTTGACCACCTTCCCCCTTCTCTGCCTTGCCTTCCTAGGTCCCTGTATCCCAAACCCCTGCCAGAATGATGCTGAATGCCAGGTGATTGATGGCTCACACCGAGGTGATGTCTTCACCCAGTACATCTGCAAATGCCCGCATGGCTACACAGGCATCCACTGTGACACCAGTGAGTATCGGGGTTGGGCAGGCGGGGGGCGCAGACCCTGAGTCACAGTCCTGGCAGCCCAGGCCATGTGCCTGCCATATTCCCTTTATCAGGTTCTCCAGGTAGGTTGAGGGTGGGACAGACCCTCTGTCAGCCTGTGGTGGAGGAGGGGATCCTGTTATTCCTCTCCGGGCTTGCTCCCTCCCAGCCTGTCTCCTGGGATTGCAGGCCCAGGCTGATGTTGCTCTAGGGGAGTGAGGGGTGGTGAGGGCAGAGGTCATGGAGTTCTGTTTCCTGAGTCACCATGAACTAGACACTCAGCTTTAGGATTTAGGGAGGGAAAACAAACATATTCCTAACTTTCTGGGGCCTGGAAGGTCAGTGGATAAGGCTTGAACCTTGTGATTTGGTAGGTCCTGGCCCATGTTTGACCTGTGGCTTCATTGCAGAGTTTCGGGAGGAGGGGCAGGCCTGGGCAGGCTGGGCCCCTCCTGTTTAGGCTGTCAGCGCTGCCTGGTTTATGCACGGGGGCCGGCATCTCTGGCCTGCCTGATCATCTACTTGGCTGCCAGATGGTCCTGGGTGGGTGCCAGCCCACATCGCCAGCACTGGTTCTCCAAGCTCTCTTCCCTCCCGGCCTAGTTAGAGTCCCTCCCACCGAATCAGGACTCCTCCTGGGCTGCTGTGGGTGGGCACATCCACGTCTAATGTCCAGGGATGGATAGAAGGAAGGGGGTCCCAGTTTCTGCAGTCCAGTGGGTATGTCACCGAGCATCTCAGGCAGGGGGCAGGCCATCCACTTTCTGCCAGATGTGGGGACACTGGCTAAGGTTTGCTGACCTCCAGGAGGAGGAAGGGGGAGGGCTGGGCCGGGCCAGCTGGGTAGGAGCTGGGGCCCAGGGGAGAGCAGGTCAGGTGCCCTTGGAGGGAGCAGTGCCCAGGGCCTGTACCTGGGCCGTGTGCTGAGGCCGGCATGTGTAAGATCCTGGATGCAGGACTGTGTGTGTGGTGCGGGTAGGGTTGCCAAGGCAGACAAGCCCTGGGTGGGGACAGGGGCACCCACTGATTGCTGTGCTTGGAGCCGGGGTAGCCCTGGGTGTGCTGAGTCAGAATTACCCACTAGCCGTCCCCTGCGTTTCGGCTTGGGGTCTGCCAGTGCTGGACAAAGTAGCACCTGGGCAGGTGGCAGGCGAGCACAGAGGCAGGGGAGCCTGTCCTGGTTCTTAGGGGTGTGTTTCCGTGGGGCCCACAAGTACCTCAAAGGTGCAAAGGATGTGCGTTTGGGCCCCACAGGGTGTGGACCTGTGGGCTGTGAGTTCAGTCTGGACCCGAGTTCAGCTCTCTGCTTGGCCCCTGTGAGTCTCGTAGCACTGACCTCAGCATGAGCTTAGGGTGTTGGGGTCAGGGTAGTTCTGCCCCTGGGGGATGAGAGAGGCCTGGCCCCTAGGACCACATCTCTGGGGTAGTGGTGTTGGTCCCTCGGCCAGGGGCAACTTCACCAATGGCAGGGGCAGGACCAGTAGTTGGAAGGGAGGAAGGGTGCAAAGGAAAACAGTGGCATTCACACCCTACCCTGAAAACTCCTGCCTGTGGGATTCTAGAAAATTCCAGGCAGATTTGCTTAACGTTGCATGTGTAGTGCACACATTGCCCTCCATCTAAGGGGCCCCTCTTCCCATGGCCGTCCTCCTGGGGAAGCTGGGGGCTGGGCTGGATGTGGCGGGCCTCCTGCTGGGGTGGGACACCCTTTGCACCAGAATATCTGCTGCTTTGTCCTGTAGAAATGAGACCACCTAATCAGTGCAGTGGGAGACTCCGTTGCTGGTCACAGCAGGGCCCCTGGGGCCAGCTTGGCCAGGAACCTTCTGGTAGCCCTCAGACCCAACCCCCACGACTGCCTGGCCCCTCCTCCTCACCATGTGCTGGTTCTCAGCACCTCCTCTTGGGCTCTTGTTGTCCCCTCGTGGTCTCTTGTCTTCTGGGTCCACCTGCCTGGCCACCTGACTGCTGTCTCCTTGTCAGCCTGCGCCATGCCACTGGGCATGGAGACGGGTGCCATCACCAACTCGCAGATCTCTGCCTCATCCGTGTACCTGGGCTTCCTGGGTCTGCAGCGCTGGGGCCCCGAGCTGGCCCGCCTGCACCTCACAGGCATCGTCAATGCTTGGACAGCCAGCAACTATGATAAGAACCCCTGGATCCAGGTCTGGAAGGGATGGCCCTGGGGTGGGTGGCAGGAAGGCAGGGGAGGGGAGGGGAGATGAGTGTTGTGCCTACGTTTGGGGGTCCCCATGAGAGCGTTTGCACCTGGGGTCCAGGTAGCAAAATAGGAAGTTCCCACAGGTGAAGTGACTGCTAAGCAGAGGGCAGTCTTGGGGGGCCTGGAGTGGGTGTACGGGACGAGGCGAGCAGACCCAGGCAGTGGAGAGGCTGTTTGCACTGGGTGAGGCCTCTGGGCGCACCCTGAGCCCAAAGCCCTAAGAGGGCCAGATGAGAAAGCCCCCCTCCTTTGTCCTGCTTGGGTGGCTGCCCCTCTGGGTGTGGAGAGTGAAGCGGGTGGAAAGAACCCAGGAGCTGAGGGTGCTGTCCTCCCGTCGAGTCCAGGTGAACCTGATGCGGAAGATGCGGGTGACAGGCGTGGTGACGCAGGGCGCCAGCCGCGCAGGCAGTGCTCAGTACCTGAAGACTTTCAAGGTGGCCTACAGCCTCGATGGGCGTGATTTCCAGTTCATCCAGGGTTCAGGGGAGTCAGGAGACAAGGTGAGGCTTGTTGGGACCCTAAAGAAGGGCTGTGGTCAGTGCCCTCTGCAGCCCGGGCATTGTTTGAGGGCCCCCAATGAGGGCCCCAATGAGGCAAGGGTTCCCTGGGTGATGGGCCATGAGATGGGTCTCTAGGTGCATCTTTCTGGTTCCCAGAAATCAGGAATCCCAGACTGTGCTCACCGTCTGGGTTGCAAGTAATAACTCCACTTTATAGATGAGAATAGTGAGGCTCAGAAAGGTTAAGTGACCTGTTGAGGGTGGCTGTAGGAAGCTAGGATGCATTCTGAACCTCTAGGTCTACCATGTATAGTTGTACAGGTTGTACACTGCTCAAGGGTGTCCTTTTAAGTGAGAACCGTTCACAACAGAGCCATCATGCTTGTGTACTTCTTCCATCTGTGGGAAAATTGTTATAAGTGCCTCGAGAAAGGAGTGACTTTTCCTAATTTGTGGATCAACCTATAAATTATAGGTGGCCCTGTATGAAAGATGGGGGGTTTTATGCCTAGGCCCCACGATGACCAAGGAAGGTGTGAGGAAGGGAATCTGTTGAGGGCTGTGGGGTGGCCAGAGGAAGTTAGGAGCCCCCGCTGGCTCTACTAGGCCCACCTCTGTCTCGTCAGCGGGAAGGGGAGGCAATCCTAGGAGGTGGTCCTACCCACAGCGACTCATTCCTCCAATCTGCCGCTTCCCTCCTAGGTGTTTGTGGGTAATCTGGACAACAGTGGCCTGAAGGTGAACCTGTTTGACCTCCCTCTGGAGGTGCAGTATGTGAGGCTGGTGCCCACCCTCTGCCACCGGAGCTGCACCCTCCGCTTTGAGCTCCTTGGCTGCGAGTTGAATGGTGAGTGCTGGAGGCTGTGGTCTCTCCCGCCTCTTTTGTCAGCTATCCCCCCCACCGTGGCAGCGGTGCTGGGTGGGTGGCAGCAAGGCCCAGGGATGGCTCACACAGGAGGTGGGAACTAGAGGGATCCTCGCCTGCCCAGATGTTAGCTGTCTGCCAGCCCGGGGCATTCTGGTTCGTAGAGAACATGATGCCACTTAACATTTGCAGGGTATTTTCACTTATTCTCTCTGGTTCCTTGAGCCCCTAGACCATGTAGCTTAGTTCTGTTTTGTAGACCCCAGCTCCATGAGGGCAGGGAGTTCGTCTTTTTTGTTCACTGCTGTGTTCCTAGTGCCTAGAACAGTGCCTGGATCATAGGCGCTCAATAAATTATTTGGTTGAATGAGGGAGTGTGAATGAGGAAAGGGAGGCCTGGATAAATTAATTATTGAGGGCACACAGCTGGTAAGTGGTAAAGCCTGGTCTAGATTCCTGGGCTTCTGACACCCTCCCACCCAGTGCTTCCCCCACCCAAACCTCTTTTAGGCTGCATTCAAGAGGGACGTGGGGGCTTCTAGGGTCTTAGGGCATGGAGCTGGGGCTTTCTGCTGGCCTTTCTGGTGAGATTCCCAGATGAAGGGACTTGGGGTGCGAGGGCCAGAAAGGACAGGTTTCTGCTGAGCCAGGAAAATTGACCACTGGAGAGGACAGGGTATAGGGGTTGGGCTAACTTTGTCTCAGCCCAGCTCAGCCCTGAGGCCTGGGTAGTTTCCCTGTCTTTACAGCCACAGTGCCACCTACTGGCCACCATTGTAACTGTAGGGCTCCCTAGGCGGCGCTGCGGAGCCGAGAGACGGCTCCCTGCCTTTCTGTCTGGTCTTACCCAACCCCAATCTCTGCCCACCCTGCCCACCTTGTGGCACCTCTTCTACTGTCCTGTTTTGATACCACCTAGTACCACACGGAGCTGAGTTCTGTGTCTGGCTGAGTTTAGTCTTTTTTTGAAGTATGAACTTAAGTCAGTGTGTTCCCTGCCTTTTTGAGCCTTACTGTTCAAGTGGGGAGGTAAAGACTCGGTCTTCTGCCAAAAGGAAATGTAGGCAATCGGTGAAAGACAGACAGATCTGGGGAACCCCTCCCTGGGCTCCTGTCCCTGGAGTCCCTTGCCCCACTCACTGTCACAGTGTGAAGCCTTTGGCTGTTAAAGTTGCCTGCCTGGTCCTGTTACGGCTGCTTCCCTCTAAGGCCAAAAGAGGGTAAGCCAGGCAGGCCGAGGAGGTGGGGATGTCCTGTCTGCTTCTCTCAAGGTCTGGACTGTCCCCTCTCCCTAATAGGCGCCACCCGGGGCTTGCAGGGATGCTGACTCCCAGCCTCACCTTGGACCTGCAGGAACAGAATCCTTTTAACAAATCCCCAGGTGGTCTGTGAGAAGCACTGCTCTACTACCCCATTTTACAGATGGGGAGACCAAGGCCCCGAGAGGGGTAGGGATATCCCAGGGTCACACAGCGAGTGATGGAGCTGAGTCCTGACCCTCGGCTCTGTGCCCCTCCCAATTGCATTTTCCCTGGAGGGCTGTTCGACTCCGTCAGGCAGCCCAGCAGCAAGGGGGACAGGAATTGCTAGAGGCAGATATGCCGTACAAGGGTTCACCACCAGCAGATGGTGTCAGCTTGGCATCCTCTGCGAAGCTGCCCCAGGCCTTAGCCTGCCTTGAGAACAGCCACCACCCTCACCAGGAGCCGGTACCACTGGCAGGCATCAGCACACGTGGGAGGCACGTGTCTCTGGTGGCATGGGAGCAAGCTTCCTGGGGGACAGTGATGCAAATGCCGTGTACTGTAGCCTGCTCCCAGATGGAGGGATGGCTTTCCAGGCCTGGTGCCCCAGACTGCCTAGGTCCCCAAAGGGATGGCGTTGTGTGGAGATTCTGCCAGGCATGTGCTCTCTTGGGAGTTTTATTTCTCCTGCCTGTCCCTAATTGTCCCGGCCACCTGCAGGTGCAGAGGCTAGCGCAAAACAGCTGCAGGACACCAAGGCTAGCATCTCGGGCCTGTCTGCCAGCACCCCAAGTGTACAGTGTTGAGGGTGTGGGGGCCCTCTGGTAGGCACTGGGTGAGGGGCTGCTGGGCTGGGATACTCAGCGATGGCCCCTGGGCCCCAGGAGTTCTGGCTTCTCTGACTTGCACCTCCTGGTGGGTGTGACCATCGTCCTGTGCACTGCTCGGTCACCTCTGCCCGGGCCAGATGTCCTGGTGCTGGGTGGCTGTGAGGCTGGTGGAGGTGAGGTCACAGTGTGGCATGGTGGTAGTAGTTTGTGTGTGGGGGCGTGACTTGGACTCAATGCTTAATGGCTCACAGCCTCAGTTTTTTCATTTGTAGAATGGGGTTACCAGTGTTTTCCTCATTCAGGTTTTTGTGGTAGATTAAAGGAAATAAGCACTGAATTAGCCAGATGGTTATTATTAATCTACAGTAATCCCAGGACTAGTGGTGTGGACAGCAGCTGTGCCAGCGGGGTGACAGAGGAGGTGCTGGGTGTCCAGAGGAGGGACGTGCTCTGCCGAAGGGAGGTGGTCAGGGCAGTCTTCTTGGAGGCGGTGTCTCACGCAGCAGGCCTTAAAGGAGGGTGGGAGGTGGTGGATCAGGCCCTGCCCTGGAGCAAAGGGAGAAAAGTGGTAGGTCATCTGTGAAGGGCAAGTCAGGGCAGAGGTGGAGCTGAGAGCTGCGGGCAGTGAGGCATGGGCAGGGCGGGCAGGGAGAAGGTAGAAAGGTTGGCTCCAAAAGGCAGAAGGGGCCTTTTGCTGTTGCCTAAGAGGATGCCAGGGGCTGAGCAGGATCCCTGGAGGTCTCCCCTTCATCACCTTCTGCACACCCCCCCGGGAGGCTGTGGATCCCAGATCTAGGTGATAGCCCCCTTCCTGGCAGGATGTGCTGAACCACTGGGCCTGAAGGACAACACCATCCCCAACAAGCAGATCATGGCATCCAGCATCCACAGGACCTGGGGCCTGAGCGCCTTCAGCTGGTATCCCTACTATGCGCGGCTGGACAAGGAGGGCAAGATCAACGCTTGGACCGCCCAGAGCAATAACGCCTCGGAGTGGCTGCAGGTGGGCTGGGCCCCTGGGCCGAGGGCCTGCCGGCTCACTCAGCCTTGAGGAGGGACACCTGACCTGGGCCCCTCCCGTTTTCCACCTGAGCACAGAGCAGATGCTCTGTGACTCTGTCTGAAAACATGGCATGGGACGGCCCTGGGATTCCCTGAAACTGAGACACACAGGAGAGTTTTGGAAAATCAGAGCACCTGTTCATTTAATAGTTGGGGAAACAGTCCCGGCAGAGTGGGGGCTTGCCTGGGGCTCTCTTTCCGGCTGGGGTGAGTGGGGTTTGCAGCCTGGGTGTTGGTACTGCCCGTCCAGAGGCAGCTGGGGGTCCCAGCAACGGTCAGGGACTGGGGGCAGGAGGTCTGTGTCTAGGCCCCAGGAAACACGTTTGCCTGTGGAGTGGGGTGTTGTAAGGAGGAAACCTGTTCCTTGGCCTCCCTCAGGACCCATATCAGGCTGTGGACAGCCCTGCAGGACCCTCAGAGCAGTGTCTGCCCCTACGGGCAGTGGCCTCTCCTGTCCCATCCCCATCATGTGGGGCATTGGCTGTGGGTATGCCAGGGCAAAGGTCTGAGGTTTGAACTCTGTCACGGCGGAGTGCATAGTGTCGTCTGACGAAGTAGGTGGTAGTAGTTATTTTATAGATGAAGAAACTCACGTCCTGCCAAATGAAGCTGCTTTCCCAAAAGCAGAATTGATGATGCCCCAGTGTCTCTACCTTTTCCCACCCTACTGAAGATGATCGAGCACAGAAAATGAGGTTGACTTTTCTTACAGATTGACCTGGGCACCCAGAAGCAGGTGACTGGCATTATCACCCAGGGTGCCCGAGACTTCGGCCACATCCAGTACGTGGCAGCCTACAGGGTGGCCTTCAGCAACGATGGTGTGAACTGGACCCAGTACGGGAATAAAAAGGTGAGCGTCTGCCCCACCACCCTCCCCGTGCCACCCCAGGGGTGTTCTGTGAGGCTGGCCTGGGGCTCCGAGGGCAGGGACTGGCTCTGGGCCCTCCCGACACCCCCTCTGCCTCCAGGTCTTCCTTGGCAACATGGACAATAATTCCCACAAGAAGAACATGTTCGAGACGCCCTTCCTGGCTCGCTTCGTGCGCATCCTGCCTGTGGCCTGGCATAACCGCATCACCCTGCGTGTGGAGCTGTTGGGCTGTTAAGAAGTCGTGAGCCAGGCCGAAGGGGCCCCAAGGGCTATGCAGCAGCCCCCCACCCCCCCACCCCAACACCAGCCCTCCTGTGGGGCCGCCTCCACCCTCCCTCCTGATTGTGGCCAACCCCCAGGCCAGGTTCCAATCGCCTTGCCCCCTCCTTGCCCTCTGCCTCTCCGGAGCCCCTGCACCCAGCCGTCAGGCCATCCCATTTTCTTAGGGCTGCAGGAGTTGAGTAGTCCTGGGATGGGCAGAGTAGGGCCAGGCAGGGGGTGCAGGTTACCTGCCCCTCTCCAGATCCATGGTGGTGGCCTCTGTGTCCTCCCTAGACCCTCACACCCCACTGCCCAAGGCCCTGGAGGGAGGCGCTGAGGTGCCAGGCTGGTGACTCCTGCCTGTCAGCCCCAGGGCGTGACACCACCACTCCTGCTCCTGCCACCTAGTCCCCTGACACTTACGCTTCCCCCTTACCTTCGCAGAGACCCCTGCTGACCCTTGTCCTGAAGTCTGGACAGACACAGTGGGGTGGGGTGGGTCCCTGCAAAGCTGGAGGAGGAGGCGGGCAGGCCTTCCTTCCTGCTGGGTCTTCACCCCCGAGCACACAGGCAGCTTCCAAAATATATTTATATCACCCCCCGGGACGCTTGCCCTGGTTCATCATTGCTGCGTCGAAATGTGCTTCGGCCTGCACTGGCCCTCCGACCCTCTCTTCTCTCAGCCCCACGAGCGCTCCAGCATTCCTGGTCCCCTGCCCGCAGCAGAGAGCTTAACGGCAGGAGGAGAGGGGAGACTAGTGGGGGTCCCACTGGAGAGGGCCAGGGCTTCCCGGGGCCCGATGCCTGGCCTTGCCCCTCGGTTCTTCCCTCCAGGCCCGCCCTTGAGCCCTGGGCCCACGGCTGCTTCAGTCGCTAGCCAGGTGCTGCCGAGGCTGCGCCCACTGGGGCCATTGCTCCTTCCCACCCTAGGAAGACAGGCTGCTGGTTCTCCCCTTCGGTGGTTCCCATTTTCGCTGCAGCTAGATGTGGGGGCTGGAGAAACTGTTAGAAACTCAGTGAACCTGGCTGCCTCCAGAGCTGCAGGAGGCGCAGGGTGGGGTGCAGTGCGTGTGACGGGAGGGGGCTGGGCTCTGCCACCTAAGCACAAGGCCTCCTGGCCAAGCACGGAGGTTCCTGGGAGGCCACTGGCATTTCACTCCAGGGCTGAGGGAAGCTTCAGGGGTATCCCTGTGTCCTTGCCCATGCAGGAGCCATCAGGAAGTGGCCAGTGCCCTGGAGATGGGGGAACAGGGCTGGCAGAGGAGGGACTGACTAGCTGTGAAAGGGGCACATGGAGCCACCTTAGTATTTGCAGCTTTGGAATGCAAGATGAATTTTCTGGAACAAACTTTGGGAGCCATGCTGAGCTACACACAGGCGCCTCTGGGCAGTGGATCGAGCCACGTGGCTCTCACAGGGAGGGTGTGGCATTGCTGGAACTCTGTCAGGGAAGTCAGTCTGGAAGCGGCTCCTTCCTGAGAGCTGCTGTTGCCAGGTTTCTTGGCTGGGCAGGGACAGAATAAAAGGCCCAGGCCATGGTCTCTGATGAACTGGGGGTGTGGGGCTTCCACCCTGGGGGTCCCTCAGTCCATGCCTTCCTGTTTCAGAGTTCTGGGGAGCTGTGGGTTGGGATTGGAGTCAGCCTTCTGGGTGATTGCTGGCTGCCTTGGGGGGCTAGCAGACAGTGGGAGAAGGTGGGAGAAGCATCTTTCCCGCATCTCTGCTCTGGGGTGGTTCTACGTCTCCAATAACTAGTGGCCGCTTGAGCTTTGCTAACACCCAGAAGTCCCACTTGCAGGAGAGCTGCACTCTACCTGCCACCTTGGCCCTGTTGGGGCATTGGCTGTGGGGGCTGGTAGGCAGTGGGCACAAACCTCCATCTGGTCCAGGACACCCAAGGCAATTTGGGAATCACCTGGGCCACCTCTCCGGCCCTTCTGCTCATTTCTGCATCCTTGGATCCTTGGATGGGTTGGCCACAGCTTTCCCCAAGTTACCCCCGGGGACTCCGTACTCCTGGTCACTTCCATCCTTTGCTCCTCATCCTTTACAATCTCATCCACTTCACAGCTTTTACCATCATCACAAATTTACTTATTTTTACAAATTGAGGTATACATACAATAAAATGCACAAAACAGTGTACAACTCGATGCATTTTGACGTGTACACACGTGACCACTGCCCAGGTCAAGATTACACATCTGCAGTAGATTGGTTTTTTCTCCACCTATTTCACCCATTTCCCCACCCCCCCATCCACAAATTGACTTTATTTCAGAGAGACAGATTTATTTTGGAGACCCACTGCTGAGATTCCACCTGCTAGCCAGTCCTGGCCCTGGCTGGCATGTTAAACTTGCTTTGCACGCACAAAACTTACCCTCCTTGCTGTCCATCGCTTTTCCTTAGACTTGTGCTGTCAGTGATGGGACCTGGTGACCCACCTTCCCCAGGAATCTAGTGTCCTTCCCATTCCTGATTTAAATACAGTGGAGTTACTAGGAGCTCAGTCTCAAGTCAGACAACCTGTGGTCAAATCCTGCCTCTGGGTGGCTTTGGGCAATGGACTCTCTGGGCCTCAGTTCCCTCATCTGTAAAATGGAAATAATAGGACTGACACCATGGCCTCGTGGGGATGGGTGGAGAGAAGGTACACAAGCCCCAGTGCAGAGCCTGGCCCAGCACAAACACTTTGGTCACGTGACTGTCAGAGCCCCTTGCAAGAATTCCCTAATTGGTGTTTGTGTCTTTCCCCTCCACACGTGGTCAGACCTGTCCTTGCAGAGCAATCTTCATTGGCTCTTCTTTGCCCATCAAGCCTGGCATCATTCACTTTGGGTACAGATTACCCCCTAGTCCACTGTTGCCCCTTGCTCTAGGCTGTTCTGTGTAACACACACACACAGGGGCATGCACAGCTGTGTATGCAGGCTGTCAACTGTTGAGCCTCTGGGCTCAGTGACCCCATGGCCCTTCTCCCAGCCAAGGCTGGAGGACCTCTGGAGGCTTTTATGCTGAAGAAGTTGTCAGGGCCAGGAGTCCTATTGCTCTGGATGGGAAAGAAAACACCCTGTCCAAACAGGCTTGCTGGGGGTGCCTGCTGGGCTGGCAGCATCCGAGGGGAGTCCCCTACCCCTACTGGAGAGCCGGTGAGAAGCCTGATTGCTCCTGCAGGGTGCTGGGAGCCCGCCATCCGGGACCTCTCCTCCCATCAGGGCCACTCATTCAAGCCCCACCTAGAGTCAGAATCCACGTGCCTGGCTCTGAGTTGAGAGTCTGACTGGCATCTATCTCACTAGGGCCAAATTCAGGGGCAGGAGGGATGTCTCCTAGGGGTTGCCTCCTAGAGGTAAGGGAAGGCGCAGAATGCTCACCCCCCCTCTCCGGTAGGTGGGGGCAGCCATAACATAACCCATATGCAGAGTGCTGGAGAGGGTCTTCCCCACACTCGGTCTCCCTGTTTTTGGTAAACCAGAGCGTCCAATGGGACCCCCTTAGCTCCTCTTACATCCCCCACCCACCTCCCTTCCCAACACGTGACAGCCTCGGCTCCCCGATACTCCCTTCACCGCGCGGCCAGCAGCTCCGCGGTTGGAGGGGGATCCCCAGCGGGTCTGGAGACCGCCCAGGCCTGCAGTGACTCCTCCCTTCGGCCCAGCCCCCGGGAGGGAAAGGGGCTTGTATTCCTTTAAGGGGCTGGCGCGGCGGGAGCGTGGGGGATTGTCCGCGGCGCTTCCTTTCTGGCCATTCAAGATCCCGAAATCCGCCTGCTGCCTCGGCCGGGCTGCCTGCGGCCGGGAGCGCCCGAGCCGTCGAGGAGCCGTCTGGAAACGGTGTGTGTGGCTCGGGGTGGCCAGCTCCCGGGGCCCCCGGTGCGTCGGGTTCCAACCCCGCCACTTTGGGTCTGCTGCGGGGCCCCGCACCTCCAGGGGCAGAGTCCGGGCAGGCGGGCAGAGCGAGTGGGCCGGGTGCTGCGGGGCCGCGTGTGAGCGCCGGCGGGGGCACCCGGGCGCGAGTGGGGTGGGAGCGGGGCGCGCACGCGGGCCGACCCGCTCGGGACCCTTGGGCGCTTGGCGAGGAGGCAGATCCCGGGCGAAACCCGTGGCTTCCGAGACCAGCGCCCGGGTCCGGCCGCTTTCCCGCCGGGGGCCTCCCGATCCTTCCCCGTCAGGTCCCCAGCACAGCGCGCCGCGCGCCCGGCTCTGCCGCGTGGCACCTGCGGATGCTCGGGGGTCGCGGGAGCCCTGCGGGGGGCTGGGGACAACCGCGGGGCGGCGGGCAGGCTGCCGACCCGCGCCTCCCGGCCTGGGGCCTGCTCCGGCCACCGCACGTTAGGCGCGAAGGATGCCCGTCGGATCCAGGCCCCTCTTTCACTGGGGTTGCTGCCTCTGGAACAGCGAGACCGGAGGGCCAGGGATGGCGGAGGGGGGAGCCCTGGATGGGACATGGGGTCACGCAGGGAGGAACTTAGAGCTCCTGGGCTGCCAGGGGGGACACAGCACGGGGCACCTGGACCCAGCTCTGCCACCGACTCGCTGGGTGGCCCCGAGCAGCCTGTACCCCAGTCGGGGCGGCGGTGTCCAGCGCTGACCCCGGCAGCGCCTCTACTCTCTGCAGCTGGGGGAGGTGATTGGGAGGCTTCGCTCCCGCCGCCCTGCAGGGCCCAGCGGGCTGGGAATGCTGATAGGAAACATCTCCGGCTTCCACTTTCCGGGGGCCGCAGGTTTCAAAGGCGCTCCTAAGCCTTGTCTAAACAGGGGGCACCGAAGTCAAATTCCTTCCAGGGAGCCGGGCTGGCGGAGACGGGAGGGCAATACCGCCCTCTGCTGGTGTCTGGGGGCGTTGGACGCCCCGGTCGCGCAGTGAGGGTCGTCTGGGGCGCTGCATCGTCCTTCCAAGTCAGTGTCAGCGCCGTCTACGGGTGGAAGGGTCCCCAGGCGGGTGCAGGGAAGAGCAAAGGATGCAGACCCCAGTTTCTGCAACCTCCACCTATTTACTAAAGATAAAGCCTCACCTCCGTCTCTTGGCCCCCAGTTTTCCCAACTGTGAAGAGAAGGCCATGGTGGCGGCTCTCCTAGGCCCTGAGAGGAGAAAGACCCACTGAAATAACGCGAGACTTCACTTTGTCAACTGTGAACAATCATATACTAGCTAATTATTTTGAGTGCTTGTCCTCCCCGCAAGCGGAGGCCATCCATCACTGCCATTAGTGGCGGTGGTCGGGGTGGGCCTGGGGCAGTTACCATTCCTGACTCATACCCAGGACTGCTCCGTGCTTTTGCTTGACATTCAGGGCCATCACTGTCCTCAGCCCCTGAGCTTCCCCATTAGCCTTCTCTGGAGACAGGGAGGCGTCTCTCCGGAGGCCACATGGCTTGCCCAGGGTCACCCTGCCAGCAGGTGGCGAGTCTAACTGGAGCCCTCCGGCTTTGTGTGCTCTGCTCCTCTCTGGGGCCGGAAGAGGGCACCACTTTCACTTAGGCTGCTGCTCCCGGCCCAGGGCTGATCTTTTCTTAAGAACACATTTTTTTCTTGGAGTCCCCCCACCCATTCTCAGGTTGCATGACTGCTGGGTTAACATCCAGCAAAGAGGGTGTTGAC